CCCCCCCCCCCCCGGATGGCGAACGCTACAGCTTGCCCTGTCACTGAACCCACCGCACGCCACTGTGCAGGGTGTCTAGGATTCTTTACCATACTCATTCCCTGATTTTTCCTGCATTTCAGAAGCTCATTCCCTGATGAAAGACCAACGATTTTGCCCAAATCCCGAGGATTTTCGTGAGAGAAACTATAAGTAACTTTTCAGAGTTCCAGCATGAAAGATGAAAAGATCGATATTCATAAATATCGATCTTTTCATCTTTCAGCCAATTCTTGGTCACACATTGGAATTTTAAAATACAACAGCGTCTCCATATTATATTATCGTCTTTATATTATCTGGTCAACAAAAATTTATCTATCGTTCTGATTAAGAAGATTCAAAAGGTCAATAATGGTGGCTCAGGTGTGATATCATAAACTTCAAAATGGTCTCTAGGCGGATAAAAAGAGATTCCCGGTTTCTGGGACAGATTTCCTGATTGTTTGACATATTCATTCCCTGAAGAATCGCGGTCATAGATACCATGTGATTGCCACTCAACTTTTGGTCGCTGTTGTTCTAGCCTCTGAGTTCCGTTCCCAAGCAAAGTAGCTACCCTGCTAATAAGTTTGCTCCCTTCCTCGTTTCATTATAGTCTCCCTTTTTTACTTATATTCTTTGTTTTAATTCACTTTATTCTTCTTCACATATTTGGATTTAATAATCCTCTCGGTTTATTAGGATCTTACAGTTAGATTTTTTTCTATCCTTATTTTTTAATTCAAGATCTTCTTGGGTTACCTACCTACTTGTGTTTTTAATAATCTTTTTCTTCATTGTTTGTTTTTTTCCCTTCAATTTTAGTTGCTTCTGTGAATGTCATTATGGCTCCTTCACTTGTAACTTCAGTTAATATTTAAAATGATTGATACTTTTTATTTTCATAGGTATGAACTTTTATCTACAGTCAATTCATAACAAGCTTGGGGGAGTAAAAGCTTTATTTTTATAAAGCTTGCTTGATCGTAAGTAATGAGAGTTTGACTGGATTTCGAGGTAGCCTGTCAGCAAGGTATAGAGGATAACCTCCATTGTGGCCTCAACTTTTAAGGCTTTTTCGGAGCCGGGGAGTTGGTCTCACAGAAAACTAATGGCATCATCAAGTAACTACAGAAATTTTGCATTGAAAAAATTCCCTTAAATTGCAAATCCTGACACATGCGAGAGCTCCATTGAACTTTACTGGAATAAAAGAGCAAAAAAGAAGAAGAAAATGACTACAGGGCGAGTTTTACATACCTGGTTCTCGTTTGATGGTGAGATTTGGTATTCCACCTGTGTTTGTTCCTGGTGTTGCAGATCCTCCTGTTGGAGAAACACAGAATAAATTAAACAGAAAAAAAGGAACACAAGAAAGCAGGACATTCAACTTGTAGTTATTCGTCTAAAAAGGAATCAAATGGTTTGGTCCCCTTCCAATGCTTAAGCAGCTGCATGTAAAAATGTAATTAATTTTCTCCGACTCAAATTTTTCCCTAAATTGATGTAGAGGCCCTGAGGAAAGGAGTTTTCATAGGTGATCAACCTCAAGAATTAGGACCCCTTCTTCAGGTCTCAAGGGGATCNGGGGGGGGGGGGGGGGCTTCGAAATGGTGGAGTATTGATTCCTTTGGGTCAGTTAATTTGTTCCCATCAGTTGCGTAGATGTCTATGTAAAAGGATTCCATGCATCAAAAAATGAAAAATTGGTTAGTTGGTACCCGGTATTTTAAATGAAAACAGTAAATAAGACTGATGTGTGGAACCTTTTCAGAGATTCGAATACAGTTCATGATAAGAAAATCTAAATACCAATCAAAGAATACAAAAGGAAAAGGCAGAACAACAAATACTTAACTGAAGCCATGCAAAGTTTGAAATGACACTTAGCAAAACAAAAAGAAAAATTATGTAATGAGTGAATGATACGGTCCCTTTTCACAGATCCGAATGTAGTTCGTGATAAAAAAGCTAAATTCCAGTCATAGAATAAAAAAATGAATAGCCAAAACAACACATACTAGACTGAAGCCATGCAGAGTAATAATACAGAGTGATTAGCATTTAGCAAAACAAAAAAAAGTATCCACTTTTTGAACTCATACTGAAAATTCATTTTAATACCTTGGTTTTCGAGATGGTGTTGGTCTTTGCTTTCTTGTATCATGATAGAGGAGAAACGATATGACGTTGCAACTTCCATTGTGAATACCTTGATCAAAATTTTAAAATATCTGCGTTGTGTTTTCAGAACCGAATAATGTCCCTCTTTGCCTGTGTTAAGGACTATTCAGATTTCTGATCAGTTGGCACGATAATTTTTTTAAAAGCAACTACTTACAATTCAAGATAACGAAGATGAGTATTTTCTATTTGCTTGTCATCAGTCTATCACAGTTTTGAATTTTTTCTGCATTAAAAGACGAGAATAAGAATAGAATTTCATTGGTTTTACTTGGTAGTTGGTCAAATTACAAGAGTAATTTCCATTTTTTGTGATTTCTTATGCAAAAAGCTCAACTACTCTTCTTTCTTCCTTAATGGCAGAGCGTTGCCTGCCCTTCCGACCGTTGAAATCAGGTTTTAACATAAAAGCTTTTGCAATAAGAATCCCTCTTTCAGGATAATATTCCATGAAAATTGTTTTAAAGTATTGAAAGCAATTTACTAGTTTTTCGAACTACTTCCAATTAGCATCAAGGCTGAGATGAGACTTCCTTGGCTGCCTTACGTAGTCTGTCAATTAGAAAGTGTATCACTACGTCAAACTGAAATTTGTGATTAACTATCATACTGGTAAAAATTACTAAAAACAGTACATTTATGTACAGGGTGAACTTACAAAAAAATTGATGATTCTAGTAGGAGATCCCGCTCATTGACTCTTTAACCAGCTGGCCTGAGATTAGCAAACATACGTTAGAGCGCAATAGGAGACTTTTCTTTTTTCTTGCATAGAAAATGAAGATGGCGTTTCTTTTTTTAGTCCTGATCTCAAATAAAAAAGTATCTGTTTCCGACCTTGCAAAGCTCCTGTCATATTTCATTTTTTCTTTGTAAAACTAGTCAACGTAATGTCTTAACAAATGCTTTGATTTTTTTCTCTGTTTGCAGAATATTCTGTATAAATTTCAAAATGCAAAGTTGGCTCGTTTTTCTTCGAAAAAATAAAATAAGAGCGAAAACTTTGAAACACTGTAATAAAGATACGTAGTTTTGCACTTTGGCCATCGATCTTTTTGTACCATCAAGACTGATGGTAATGTTTAGTGTGCGATTAAACTGAAGTAGATCATAGTTTTTTTTAATGAGAAGAAAGTTTGAATTTATGTATAAAAAACCGTTCAAATCTTGGTTAGGAATTACTTTCGCGATAACTTCAATTATTTTTTGCACCGGTTGTGTTCTACGTGAAATTCTAATAAGAAAAAATACATTGTAATTCTTAAATTCGCTCTTTGTCTAGAGGTCAAATCTGAGGCAACACTTTAACAAAAGACCATTTATGTTGAATCCCAGAAATTTCGTGATAAAAATTCAGATGATTTCAGGAAAAGGATTGCTGGCAAAAACGGTAGTTTTCCTCAGCATTTTCAGTACCCTCCCGAACTGTCTTAAACAAGACATTGGAGTGTAACCTAACATTTCACTGTTTTGAGATGAAGTCTCTGATCTTTTATGATGTTCTTGAATATTTTTCTAAAATGTTCCGGAATTTTTTTTAGCTTTTCTGGAGGGGTAGCAAAATTGCGGAAACAACTTCACATTAAATAGTGATAAATCTTAAGTAAAATTCAAAATTTATTTTTAAAACATTCAATGAGTACAATATAAATATCGAAACATTTAAATGGACTTTTTGCATCACAGGTTTGTTTAAAAACCACTATCAAAAAAATGATTCAATACTGGTCGTAGTTGTGTAATGACTAGGACACACTAAACAAAAAGAAATTACTATCAAGATGACTTAGAATAAGTAAAAACAAACTAGACTTGCTGACTAGAGATTAAAGATTGATTTAAAAAATAAAAATCAGACTATCTGCGCCAGCAGCAAATTATTAAAAAAATTCTAATAATAGAAAATCCCTTTTAAGTGGTAAAAAAAGGTAAAAAAATTGAGACTCTCAGTTTTCTTAAAGAAACTACTGTCACAACCTGTAATTGTGTTTGACTTATGTTAGGGACTTTCCCCTATAGTCAATAGTCAGGATCGTCCCTGAATTCACATGAGAAAAGTTACCAACTTTTTGCATATTACATTTTTATCATGATATTTTACTAGAATCAATGCCCCCAAAAATATTTCCAATGATAAGAAAGAATTCTAACAATTTATTGTGTGATAATACAGTACTCTCTACATGAAAAATCTGCAATGGATTGAACGATTTTTGGTTTTAGAGACATGAGCGTTACAACAGGCACGCAACAGACGTAGAAAGTTCAGTGCAGCGGACAATTCCTTTGTTACAGCAAAATTCTTGGTATGACAGGTGTTGTTATAGAGACTGAAGGATGTGTTATAGAAATTGAGTGCCATGCTTTGAACTTTGAGAAATCTTAATCATCTTCCGACTGTTTTTTTGTAAAAATATTTCAAGGCCCTCGTTGCAAGATAAAAATAACCTTATTGGGTCCGTTAAGACAGAGGGATAGTTGAACTCATTGATTTGAGACTGAAACTTATTTTCATTGAATACAGATCATCATAATTTCCATTTTTTCCACTAAAAATAAGATTCACTCTTCCAAAGTTCTCTTTCAGAGAAATAAGGAATCTAAAACATGTAGTATTGAGAAAAAAGTGTCAAAAAAAATTCTTCAACGAGGGAGTTTGTAGCTGTATCAATGCCTAATTCGATTTCAAAAATAGGATGTAAAATATACTTAAATGTTATCTCAATGAACTTCCTAATTGACGTTTCCCCAAAAATATCGTTTAAATTTAGACAGAGGTTCGCAATGAGGAACCAACAACGTTCTCATAGGAACCCCTAAAACAGTGTACTCTTATGCAGCACAAGCTTCATGTAAGAATAAGCTCAATTTGTCATTGCAAAACACCGTACTCTATGAATCAAATTGTTTTACAACAGTATAACGGGATAAAAGTGTTCTAATCTGCTTGTAATAATATAAAAATAGAGAGCAGGCTGAGCCTTTATAACAGTTCAAAAAATATATAGAACATGCACAGGAGGAACAAGTTTGTATATCGGAAAGGATATGGCACTTTGATTTTGGTTCACTAATGTGATTTTAAAAAGGCATGCATAGAAGAGATTCCACCACCATAAAGAAACCATCACCGTAGTTGAATTGCAGGACTGCGAATGGGTTCAACCCACTGAGTTTTCGGAAAATTGTTACACTAAATTGAATTAAAGAGTAAATTATCGCTACATGATTTTGAATGAAATCAGTGGAAAATTACCCTCATTTGATTGAGGAATTTGGCAGTTCCTATTAAAACAAAGGATTTCTATTTTTACTTAACCTTCCACTTCAAGTTTTCTCTCGTAAAACTAAACAAAATGAGAACGGCAGTTGAATAAAAAAATTGAAGAATATTAGAGTTACACATATTCCATGTTTGAAAAATTACTCAAACAAAGCTTGAATAAAAACGTTTGATAAACTTTACTTTCAAACTCAGCATGAATAAGAGCATCTAGAGAATTACTGTTTGATTATCAAAGAATTTACTTCAAAAATTTTTCTCGAACAAGGGAATATTTTTAATTTATCTCTGCTAAGGAACATAATGAGTTTCTATTATAAAAGGGCAAATAACAGAATGCTTTTTCTCTTTCACGATGATAGCATTGTAAAGAGTTGAGACTGCGCGATGTATTAATTTGAAAACAAAATCGAAAAAAATTCCCATTGTCCTAGCAACCTCCACCGCTAACAACAAAAGACAGTACTCACTATAAAAACTACTATCCGAAAGCTTAGAGTCAGTAGACTGTTGTCTACGTCTTTTACGTTTCAAATGGACTGGATCTACAGACAATAAACAAAAATTACATTAACCTTATGAAGGAGAAGAGGCTGAAAAAAATCAAAAGAGCGAAACAAATGAGAAATACATTAGACAAAATTGACTCGTAGCAGAAAAGATGGCACTTTTCATAGCTCGAGGCATTAAATGAGCTCAGATCTAGCCAATTATCTGACACATATAAGATGCTGTTGCAGTTTTTCCCAGGGTAAAAAAATCAATGATTTCCTACTTTCAAGTTCAATTAGTTAAAGGAAAGGAATTTAAGCGTTGAAATTTTACTTGAGCCATACTTTGACATTTATAACTCTCTTAAAAAGTAAAATTTCATTCAGAATTCAATAATATTTTCCAACTATTCCAAAAGGTGAAAATTTCAAATGGATAATGGCCTCGATTCCAATTTTGTAGGTGCTGGATTTGCTAGTTACAGAAAGATAGTTTTGGGCGGGATAATAATTCTTCCCTTGTGAAATAAATTCCAAAAAATTATTGTTTAAATCCCTCTACAGGGCTGTAATAAAACGAAAGCTCATCGAACTCCGACATGTTGGCAGTAGGAGCGACTGCAGTGTACAATGCATAATGCTCGGCCTCTGTAAGAGTATCTTCGCCGAAGTACAAGGAGGCTTCTGGGACAGATTTACGACTTTCACCTCCCACGCTGCCTTCCCTTGAGAACCCTCCGCCTGAGATGCTTTTGCTCTTCTTTTTCGGAGAGAACAATTTCTGAAATATATTTGTCTTCTGTTTCTCTGGTACAGGTGGCAAAGTCTTAAACATTCCAGCATTCTTTTTGACTCTCTTTGGCGGCAACGGAGGTACACCGTCTGGTGATAGATCCAGTGGCTTTTCATCTTTTTCTCGCAACTTGGCTAAGACAACAGACTTGGATTCAGAGGACGGTCGCGGCGGACAAGATGGAATAACATCTTCGTAGGTGTCCTGAAAAAGTGGCAAGTTTGTGAAGTCTACAGGATTCTTCATTGCCAGGTGCATGCTCGAGTAAATCTCAAAATCTTCCACCTCACCGCCAGCTGTGTCGTCCACGCCTGCCACTTCACTGATACTGTCTGTGAAGAAATTAGCGTTGGAGTCTTTGTACGATCCAAGAATTAACGACTCTGTTGGTTTCTCATCCAACTTTAACTTATTGATAAATTCTGCAATGTTTTCTTTGGTCAAGTCACCCACAGTAACAGGTTCTGTTGGTTCAGAGACCGAAACATTGTTGTTTAGTTCTGTAACAGTTTGATTTGACACTTGATTCGCTTCAAAAATATCTCCCATTTTCGGCTCAATCTGCGGTTCGGCCCCTGGATGGATTTCCGTCTCAGTTCCATTAACGAGGACAATATTATTATTAGTCTCATCCAGGTTCGTAGCAGTGGTTACAGTTTCGGCAATAATCTTGATGTTTTTGTTTGCATCTCGTTTAGAGGCAACAGCTTCAACTTTATTGCTTAGAAGACTAGAGAGAATAGAACGTTTGGATTTATTACGAAATGCAGATCTACCTGCGTCTAAGGGTGTGAGTTGAAACGGCCTTGGAACACTAGATGCTTGATCGGATGGTCGCCTTAGTTCAAGATATGCTTGTACAGGATTCTCGACCTAAAACAATTGGAAAATTTGATTATTCCTACAATTCCAAATCAGCTTTTTCAGTCGATTGAGAGGGTGATAATCAGCGAAATTTGAACATGCAAGAAAGAAAAGCTAAAGTCTGAAGCATTTCAATTTTGGGACTCTTTTTTACTTGGAGAAATTGAACATGCCTAAAAACGGTGACATTTTTCAAAAATTCCTGGGAGTCAAATCAATTTGGAGAACATCAGATATATTGTGCCATAGGAATACGTCCATTACAGCAGGTACCTGTGAGCAAAATACTCAATGCGCTGAACTGATCCCTTTAACTCTTCGTCCCTGAACTACTTTCATTTATGCGAGGAATTATCGAAACTTCCTTGGTAGATTGAGCAAAAACGTAAAAACGCAGAAAGTTGGTGGAAAGATGTCTTTTGATCAGCATCCACAGACAAGTTTAATGAAATAAAAAAATTGGGAATCGATATAATAGGAGTGTGCAGGGTCTACTTGTCCAGGTCCCAGAATGCTGAGAAAAGCTGTGGGGGTTCTTCACAGTCAGGAACAAGAGTCTTGGATTTCATCAAATTCAAAAATGGACTATTTTGAGAATCAGTTAAGAAATTAAATGAGTGAGAGGAGAGGTTCGTACTCTGACGTTTCAGGGACTGTTACTGGACTTTTCAACTTTTTGTTGGTTTAGGGAAAAACTGGTCATAATATTTAAAGTCTTACTTACTCAAATTATTAGAAGAAGAGCAATAGGTTTTGCTGGTTTGCCTACGGTGCACTCACTATATGTGTACTTAAAAAAAAAAACAAGTTTTAGAGCCTTACCTCAAGAGATTTGTACGTGGGCAACCTGAAGGCAATGGCGTATTGGTGATGCACATCTTGTGGTTGGAACTCAGTCTTTTCTTCCCAAACAATCTCTCCTGAACTATTTTTTTCATAGATCCAAATTTCAATATCATCTGTCATTAATAAAAAAAGAAACTATTAAAACTACGAATATCTGTAATTAGTTGCGCAGATACAGAGATGGGAAATCGTAATGAAAGTTCCAAACTGAGCACGTCTTAATTCATTTTAGTGATTAAATAAATTTTAGAAATGTAATTTGGATGCTTAAAGAAGATAAAATTTAGGCTGAGGCTTTGATGAATTGCCTTCCCACCGGGGCTCAAGATAGTTAAAAAATGCCTACTTCCATACTTTGTCAGGGTAGATCTTGAGAACTGAAAATTTTACAAGATCATTACACATTATGCAAATGAAGTTTATGAAAAAAAGTTCAATATTGTTCAGTGCAAGGGAGCCATTTGAGGANGGGGGGGGGGGGGAAAGCCGGGCGTTTGCTCAATCTGGCGCTTTTGAGTCCGACCAGAAAAAACTGCTCTTCTGCCGTTCCCAAGGTGAGAAGCGAAGTAAAAAAAAAAAAAAAACCTCTGCAAATAACCTGGAATGGCAAGACTTAAAGAGCAATTTCTGAGATTCTATTCAAGAGACGTCACTCTTTGAGACTGTTTTAATCTGAGACAACTGATGAAGAGTGTTATCAAAACCTGACGTTCAATTTCCGAATGCATCATTCTTCCTTTACACAGCGTCTGATATAAAAACTCATGAGATTCCAATAAACATGGATAAACAAACTGAATACAAGGTACTAAATCTCCGGATTTCATTTTCATGGCATCCTCCAAAGTAGTACCAAAAAAAAATTGAAACCAAAGATTTATCCTTAACCTTCTAATACCTACATATTCTTGGGGTTTCTTGTATCAAGATTCAAGTTGGCATTCTACATCAAAGTTACATGATATAAAGGAAATAAAAGTAAAACAAAGAAAAGGAAGAAAAAAAACAATAGATAATGCATACCTCTTGTGACTTTTTCACATGTAAGAATGACTTCGGTACCACCAAGTACAGATGCTGAAGGAGGACATATTCTACAGATTTGCAGGTTTGACATAGCCTCTAAAAACAAAAAACAAAGACAAAATTACTGAAGGAAACTTATTTTTAGGAAGACCGTTACGACAAAATATCATTTTCACCAGGTAAATGGTTTGACTTGTTTCAGTAAAATGCCAATTGCGCCAAAACCACTAATCCAATTTTGTCGATCTTAATCTTCGTTTCTCTTTTAAAATGTACCTCATGAAATGCAGTAAAGTTTTTGATGATACCTTAATTTGACTCCGAGTTAAATGCATGGTATCTTGACATTCCAAAACATCCTTATAATATTCGGTTTTTATTGGCTTCATTTCCCCCACAGAATGGTGTGGATCCACTATTGTTTTGGCATTCTAGTGCAAACAAATACGCCTCAAAAGAACTGAAAGTGAAAATGAATGTCTTACTTGACCCAAAATTAAATATTTTTAAGTGATGTGGAAAATTTATTTTAAGACAAATCATCCGATCTTGTAATTGTTCCGTCTTAAACGTCACAAAAACTAATAACACAAAAAAAATAAATCATCTGACTTTAATTTCTGATTGTAAAAGCAAGCAAGGAAACATTGTACCTACTTACTTTTATCATAAATTGGCTCCGAGACTACGGGTGGTATCGTCACCCATTGATTTGTTCTAAAAAATGCTTGGAAACAAAACCTCACCACATTTAAGTCTATTGTATTAACTTGATTTTTGTGAGAGAATCCCACTGAAACAGACCAAAAAAGAAATACAGATGTTAAGATTGCAACTTTATCAACATGAAAAAAACAAATTCAAATGTTGTTTGGGCTGGAAATGTATGATTCAATTGGAATGATGAAAACAGACGGATAACCACACCAATCAACGGATACGTATAAATTAGTCAGGGTGGTAAAAAAAATCTGCATCTTGAAAGATACTCTTGGGCAGGGGGTGAGTTCGAGTTTTCCGATTGGCGAGTCGTTTCCAGAGTTTCCATGATTTCTTCATTTTCCAATTCCCTGACTTTTCTCTAACTAGTTTTGTCATTCAAATACCTATGACATGACAATTCAAAGCTGACCTACACCGTAAAATGTAACACTTGCACTTTCAATAATTAATATTTACATTATTGTCATTCACTTAAAAAGCACTAAGCATTTTCAATTGGAATACTCCGCTGTAATGTGGAATAAATTTAACTTACTCCTGAAAGGATCCACTTTGATTTTTTCCCGTTCTTCGAGAGCAGCAACCATGTCTTTTCTTTTAATACACTGGATTCCTAAATTCGGGAAGCTGGCAGTCATTGATTCATTGTTTACTTCCACCGTGCAAATTCCACGCTTACAACCCTCTTTGCCGACGAGTTTGTGCGGATGAGCCTTGTGAGGATAGTCCTTTGTGACGCAAGAAACGACGACTACAACACGGCCTCGATAACCATTTATCTGAAATCAAAACAAAGCCCATAAGAGACATAGTGCAGAACTAATAATGAGAAGCCACTTTCATCAACTCTGGTTAAAATCCAACCACCTGTTTGGCAAACTTTTAATTCAATTTTTTAAGCTCTTTAAGCTTTAAAAGTTTTCTGACGCTTCACTACCTACATTTTACGGATCCTCTGCAGCACAAAGAACTAAAACTAAGGTAGTGGCTATTATTTAACAGGCATGGAGCTTCTGAGGCACGACTAGTACAAGAAACTTAAACAAAGACTTGCTTGCACTCGACAGATACTTACAGTGTTTCTTCAGTAAGTAGATGGTTGAATAGATAAAAGTATGGTCACCTATCTAAAAATATAGGATATTTTAAAGAAAACTTTACGTGACATTACCACATAAGTAATTAAGCACTTTCAATTGTAAGATTTTCGTAATCATGTTCACTTGAGGAGAATGAGAAAAATAGCGCTCAGTCATTCTTGATTAAACAACGAGGATAAGAGAACAAATAAGGAAAAAAAATAAGGAAAACCAAGAGAAAAATTTTGTATTTCACTACTAATGGCGAAGAGCATTCGTTAAGCAAAATGAATCAATTGAAACTTATTCAAAAAGGCATTTGTTAAACAAAATAAATAAATTGAAACTTATTCGAGAAAGAGAGATAACTACGTGAAAATTTTCATAAACCATGAACAAAATCATTGTACAAATTTTTAAACGCACAAAATAAGGGACCTTTCTTTTATTCCCACCACCCCCCCCCCCCAAAAAAAAAAAAAAAAAAAAAAAAAAAAAAAATTAAGGGCAATACTGCCGTTCTAAGGAAAAATGCCGTTTGAACTTACTTCGTTTAAAAATGTCTGAAAATGCCACCTGGGTCATTAAAATTTCCTAAAAGATCTTTGGACTAAACTCAAAATTGAAGGGATACGGGTCATTTGGGGAAGGCACTTCGTTCCGAGAAATCAAACGAAGAGCTCACTTTTTATTGGGAGGGGGGTAGGGTGGAAGGACATCCACCCTACTGCAGTTAAAACGAAACAAAACATTCGATTATAAGACAGACCTGTATAGTGGGATAGGTCACGCTCGTGTCCCTACTCTGTTTACACTTGGCGCCACTTCCACTGCTGACACCGCGGATACTGCCGGCCGTGCGACCCTCGGACACGTACCGATACCGCTGGTTGTCCGGCTGCTCTAGGATCTCGATACTCATTCCTCCCGAGGGCTCAGCCCCCTGACACCACCCAAGGTGCCCCGGCCCCAGGCTGGTGGGCGCCATCACCGGCTCCTGGGGGGGCCCCATCACCGGCTCGAGCTCCTCCGGGGGCACCACCGCGTCCTCCACCCGCGAGTCACCCGTGATAACATCGGCGAACACGCGGAGGTAATCGTCATCGCCCAAATCGCCGCAGGTCTCAACGAACATGGTAACCGATGAGTGTCTGATGAGTATCCGATGAAGAATATTGCAGCGAGGGGTCACCAGGGATCTTAGATCGTTTTAGTTTCGAACTGTTTACCCATGGTAACCGATGAGGACCCGTTGAATATCCGCGAAAGAACGATGGGAATCACTGGACACTTGACGGCGTTATTCAGCTTCGACCTGTTTTATCATGGTAACCGATGAGTATGTATTGAATATCCGCGAAAGAGCGATGGGAGTCACTGGACACTTGACCGCGTTATTTAGCTTCGAACTGTTTTATCATGGTAACGGATGAGTATGTGTTGAATATCCGCGAAAAAGCGATGAATCTAGGGGTCATACCGGAGATTACTGACCGCGATTTGAAGCGATTCAGACCGTTTTGGCTTCGAACTTTTTAGGCATGATAACCGATGAGTATCCGTTGATTATCCGCGAAAGAACGATGGGAATGACTGGACACTTGCCCGCGTTATTTAGCCTCGAACTGTTTTATCACGGTAACCGATGAGTATCTGTTGAATATTCACGAAAAAACGATGGGCCTAGGGGTCACCGGAGATTACTGATCGCGATTTAAAGCGATCTTAGACCGTTTTGGCTTCGAACTTTTTCGGCATGGTAACCGATGAGTATCCGTTGATTATCCGCGAAAGAACGATGGGAATCACTGGACACTTGACCGCGTTATTTAGCTTCGAACTGTTTTATCACGGTAACCGATGAGTATCCGTTGAATATCCGCGAAAAAGCGATGGATCCAGAGGTCACCGGCGATTACTGTTCGCGATTTGAAGCGATTTAGACCGTTTCGGCTTCGAACTTTTTAGGCATGGTAACCGATGAGTATCTGTTGAATATTCACGAAAAAGCGAGGGGCCTAGGGGTCACCGGAGATTACTGATCGCGATTTATAGCGATCTTAGACCGTTTTGGCTTCGAACTGTTTTATTACAGTAACCGATGAGTATCCGTTGAATATCCGCGAAAGAACGATGGGAATCACTGGACACTTGCCCGCGTTATTTAGCTTCGAACTGTTTTATCACGGTAACCGATGAGTATCTGTTGAATATCCGCGAAAAAGCGATGGGTCCAGGGGTCATCGGAAAAAAATTACTGATCGCGATTTAAAGCGATCTTAGACCGTTTTAGCTTCGAACTTTTTCGGCATGGTAACCGATGAGTATCCGTTGATTATCCGCAGAGGAGCGATGGACCGAGGGGTCACCGGGGACAACTTGACCGCGACTGATTGTGAGAGCGATCTTAGAGCGTTTCAGCTTCGCGGAATTATCTCGCGGTGGGAGTGATGGCGAGGGGAGAACGAGGAAAAACCGAAAGGGAGGGAAGGCCGACTGGTTCCGTGGGGTTTGCGAACATCTTGTTTTTCCGCGGGACGAGCGGTGATGCTGGAAATATGCGTGGGGTTAGCGTACACTAGACGAATTATCGTGGCGTTAGCGATCGCTGCAAAACACCGTAAGGCACGTTAGGTTTAGGTATGATTCGCGGGGTTTTATAATTGCGGGGCGTATCACCTGTCAAATCAGCGCGAAGCGGTGCACAGTGGATCGAGTAAATAGGAGAGGTCGGACAAAATTTGGAAATTTTAACGTTTATAGCTCCGTTTAAACAAAGCTTTGAGGTTCTGGGAGTGATTACATTGGTTTCCTCGTGAAATTGTCTTCTGAAAGCACCCCTCAAAATTTAAAATGTGACGAAGTAAACACCGAAATTTCCAGTTTTAGTAAAAAAAAATCATGTCCGACCTCTCCAATTGACTCGATCTACCGTGCGGTGCCGAGATAGCGAATAATCAGCACGTGTTGAGTATATCTATGACTTTCTATTGTAGACAACGGCGATGGGAAAGGGGCAAATGTCATGCTTCCTATAAATTCGATAAAACCTCCTTTCCGATTTGACATTTTGCGGTTTTCCCCGTTCGTAATGTAAACAAACGAATGCGTTTTTTTTTTTTTCGTCAGACGCTCATTAAAAGGCACGCGGGTCGGAACAAATCATCACCTTTTTAATAGACTTTTGAAAAAGCGCAACATTTAAGTCTCGATCTTAACGCCGTGGATTTCCCCGTTCATTTGTCTACATAGCGATAAGTGCGACACCCCCCCCCCCCCCCCCCNACGCGGGAGATTTCAGGCATTACCGATCGGAACGAGGAAATTCTTCTAACTTTCGGAAAGGGGTAAAAAAAAAATTCCCAACATTCCCTTTCGATACAATTTGGTGCCTCCCTCTGACCTTCTCGCTCCAATCTCCTACCCCGAGGGGAAAACCTAAAAAATTGTGAATGTGTAATTGAGTTGATTTTGAAAATTGAAAGTCGAGGCGAAAGGATTTTGAAGACAGGGTTCATTGAAATGTTACCACGTATCGATAGCTAATGTTGGAACATGTTTGTCTCTTTTGCAACGCTTCAAAACCTCCGAATTTTTTTTTTTTTTTTTTTAAAAAAAAGAGAATAAAAAAAGAATAAAAAGCAACGAACCAAAATATCATCTTGAAATTTTGCTCGAATAGGAAGTGATTTCATCGAAAATTTTAAGAGAAAGATATATTGTTTTCAAAAAAAAAAAAAAAAAAATTGTAATGATGATTCTCGAGTGGCGATTCGCGACGTCGCAATCGGAAATATGCTTTTCAGAAATTGGCCATCGGAATGTGATTGAAAAACGTCTTTTATGGCAAAAAGAACCTAAACCCAGCGAAAAAATAAGACAATAAGTATAATTTTTAGTTTTCGTTCAGATTTTTTTTGGTGTACAAATAAAGGCCGAGTAACTTTTGGACGATTTAACGAACTAATTAAGGAAATGCATGATTTCAACACGCAGCACTCTTGTGTCAGTCTTGTACTGGCACTCATTAGCGCTCAAAATTGTTGACTCTTGATTGAAATTTTTGGAATTTTTTGGCTTTGTTTTCTCCGCGAAATGGCGTGGACCCAGCACCATTTCACCACCTTGTTACATGCAGTTCGGGGCATTTCTTAGTGATTTTTCTCTACTCACCCTGTGCTTTCAGGATATTTTAAGTGTCGAAAGCAATGAGTCAAATCAGGCATTTTATCAAATGTCTAATCCGGTAGTCAAATTTTGACAGTTTACGGAATTCTGTAAATTTAGGGCGAGAAGTTCACGGGTTTTCAATATTTTGGGAAGAATAACTCTTCAAATCCGTGAACTCTCCTTGTTCCTTCCTTTTTACATGCCTTTAGTACACTTAAATGCTTTAAAATTTATGACGTGCTGAAAATTTCATGATGAATAAGCATACAGGATCTTGAAATCGCTGAAAATACTATTGTATGCTGCATATTTTTACAGAGAATTCTTCCTTACAGGAGCAACAAATTATTTTGTCTAAAATTAAGAGTAAAAAATCAAAATTTCAATCTAAGTAAGAATATTTTACTATTAGTCCAAGCTTTTGACAAAGTATCTGATTTGACTACACTGAGCAAAATGGTATGCTGTTACAGCCCCTAGGATGTCAAAAATGGGTCTGGTCATAATAAGATGCTGCCTTGATTGCCCAC